GTTTTAGTTGGAACCGAGTCTTAGGTATCTCGCTGAAATGCCGCCTCTGTCCCTAGACAAGGAAAAAAGAAGATACAAACTTATTATTTAAATCATATATCTAGTTATGTGTCTATTTTTGATTTGCCTATTAAGTGAGTAAAGGGAAACAGGCTTGGTTAATATATTTCTTAAAAAACAAAAAAAAAACCTGTTAGGTTAAAGGTCCCTTCCCCTCTCCAACTCTAATGGCCTTGCCAGGCCTAAAGCTATTTCTGCCTACAGTGGGCCAAGAAGAAGCTGAGCTTCAATGATCCTTATCTATAGCCAGAGAATCTGAGTCACCAGTTTCAGGGTAATTGCCTGAGTTTGAGGGAGAGGGCCTTTTCCCAAAGAAAGGAGGAAAGAAAAAGACTTAACTGTGTATACTTAAAAAAGACAATGAAAAGTTCTGTAAGTACAGTTTGTAAATGATGGCCCATATCATTTCCAATGATGGCCCGTATCAAAGACATTATCTTCAATACCATCACATTGGGTATTGAAGCTTAGATTAGAGCTTCAATATACGGATTTTGGTGGGATGCATTTCAGTCCATAACACCCGCTTTCTTTGAGAAAAGAAAATTACCTCAAAAGTAATCTTTTCCTTACCCAGCAGACCTGATGGTTGCCATTTCTATTATTTTGCACTTTCAAAAATTATAGTCATACATTTGTAGATTACAACTAAACTCATGAATGTTTAGCAACAAGAATAGAATTAAGAAATAGACCCACACATATATGAACAACCGATTTTCAATAAAGTTGCAAAGAGAACTCAGTTGGGGATATGTAGTCTTTTCAAAAATTTTGCTCAAACAATTGGAAATCCATATGAAAAAAAGTAACTTTGACCCATAACCCACACCAAATATGAAAACAACTTAAATTGGATCATGCATCTAAATGTAAAACTTAAAACTAAAAACTTCTACAAGAAACCACAGGAAAAAATTTTGTGACCAAAGGTTAGGCAAAGATTTCTTGGATATCCAAACACAAGCAGAATCTATATAAAATGATAAATTGGACTGAATGAAGATTAAAACTTCTACTTTTCAAAATACAGTTTTAAGAGAGTGGAAAGGAAAGCCACACATGAAGAGAAAAATTTTGCAAATAACATATTTCATAAAGGACTTTTATCTGAAATATATAAAGAACTCTCCAAACTCAATAAACAACCCAATAAAAACATGGGCAAAAGGTCTAAACAGATACTTCACCTAAAAAGATATGTGGATAACAATTAAGCACATGAAAATATGTTCAACATCATCAGTGGGGAAATGCAAATTAAAACCACAGTATGATACCATTATACACCAATTAGAATAGTTAAAATTTAAAAGCGCTGGTGAGGATATGGAGCAACAGAAACTCTCAACATCATTTGTGGGAGAGTTTAAAATGGTAGAGAGTTTAGTAGTTTCTTAAATTATACATCCACCTAGGTTTTCCCCTCCTAGATCAATAAAGAAATGAATACATATGTCCATGTAAAGATTTGTGCATAAATGGTTGGAGAA